CAGTATTAAATATCAAATTATATTAAATTATAATTAAATATGTTATATTAGGCCAGGCATGGTGGCTCCTATAATCCCAGCACTTTGGGAGGCTGAGGCAGGCAAATGGCTTGAGCCCAAGAGTTCGAGACCAGCCTGGGCAGCCCTGTCTCTACAAAAAATACAAAAATTAGCCAGGCATGGTGGTGCACACCTGTGGTCCCAGCTACTCAGGAGGCTGAGGTGGGAGGATCACTTGAGCCCAGAAGGTTAAGGCTATAGTGAGCTGTGATCGTGCCACTGCACTCAAGCCTGGGTGACAGAGTAAGGCTCTGTCTCAGAGGGAAGAAAAACACACTAAAACCAAACAAGATAAATAGTGAAAACTCCTCACTTCCTAATTATTTTACCACGTTACTATCACCTGTGTTTGAGGTTGTCATGTCCACCGTATCTGTGGGGTGGAAATATTATATAATGCTGCACAGCTGTGCATTCATCCCTCCCCAACTCTGCAATTAAGGACACTATGTTGATAGTTTGAAATCAGCTTTGGTGAGAGTATGTATAACACAGATATGGATGAATGTTACAGATCAAAGCAGTTTTGATCCAGAGAACTGGTTGTTAAACATTTGCCAGCACACCACTGTGTGTTTGTTGTACAGGGATTCTAGGGATGGGGACACAACAACCTTTGAGAGACCACTCTCCTGACAATTGAGTGGAACACACTGATTTTAAGATCACAGGCCCCTGAGGTCTCCAAGGTCCAGCTCAGTGACAGGTGCGGGCACAACTGCCACCCCAGGCAGACAGATAGAGGGGCTGGGAGGCAAATCCTCCTTCCCTCACTCTTGGTGACAGCCACTGGGCAGGAGCTGTGGGCATGGGGCACAGGGGCAGTCTGGGCATGAATGAATGCATGGTGCAGGCCAGGGGTCTGCACTGAGAGCCGGGTGAGGCGTGGCCGGAAACAGAGAATGAGGAGTGGATGCCACCCAGATCCTGCAAGCAGCAAGCTTGGATCCTCACTGAGGCCAATCTCATCCCTTCAAACCCCTTCAAATCTCAGGGACTCTGACCCGAGAGCTCCTGCCCACTGTGGGAATAGCACCCAGGCCAGGCGCAGGCAGGCACTGCCTGTGGCAAAGTGCCTAGGAGCTGTGTCCCCAGGAACGGCAAGGGACCAAATGGAGCGCCCTGGCCAGCGAGGCTGAAGACCAGCTTTGTTATTGTCTCGTGTTTCCCGGGGTTCCTGGAACCAGGTCTTGAACACAGTAGAGATCTAATGAATGATAACAGCTAACAATGACCAAGTGCCAGGCTTTAGGCATGTTAACTAACTGAAACCTCTTCAAGCTGCACACCGTGATCATCCCCATTGAACAGACAAGGTAGGTGAGGCAGGGGGGTAAATAACCTGCCCAGGGTAAGGAAGTGATGGAGCCAGGATTTGTACCAGGCAGACTGGCTCCAGAGTCCATCTCTTACTGTCGACCCCATACCCTCCCTGCTAAATGAGGGAGACAGGTGAAATGCCACATGAGGGTTGGGGAGATATTGGGGTGAGTTGGGGTGTTGAAGTCACAAAGATGAGGCTCAGCAACTTGCTGAATGACTTGGGCAAGCTGCTTATTCCTTATCTGGGTTATTGTAATGATTTTAAAAAAGAAGAAGTGAGCTGAGATTGTGCCACTGCACTCCAGCCTGGGCGACAAAGCGAGACTCTGTCTCAAAAAAAGAAAGAGAGAAAGAAAGAAGGAAGGAAGGAAGGAAGGAAGGAAGGAAGGAAGGGGGAGGAAGGGAGGGAGGAGAGAGAGAAAGAAAGAAAGAAAGAAAGAAAGAAAGAAAGAAAGAAGAAGAAAGAAAGAAGAAGAAGAAAAGGAAGGAAGGAAGGAAGAAGAAAGAAAGAAAGAAAGAAAGAAAGAAAGAAAGAAAGAAAGAAAGAAAGAAAGAAAGAAAGAAAGAAGAAAGAAAGAAAGAAAGAGAGAAAGAGCAAGAAAGCAAGGCTGGGCGTGGTGGCTCATGCCTATAATCCCAGTCCTTTGGGAGATGGTGGGTGGATCATGGATCATCTACAGGGACAGGAGTTTGAGACCAGCCTGGCCAATATAAGCCAAAACTCCATCTGTGCTGAAAAGTAAAAATTAGCTGGGCATGGTGGTGTGTGCCTGTAATCCCAGCTACTCGGGAGGCTGAGGCAGGAGAATTGCGTGAACCCAGGGAGGCAGAGGTTGCCACAGGCCGAGATTGCTCCACTGCACTCCAAGCTGGGCAACAGGCAGACTCCCGGCCCAAAGAAAGAGCAAGAAAGCAAGGCTGGGCGTGGTGGCTCATGCCTATAATCCCAGTCCTTTGGGAGACCAAGGTGGGTGGATCATGGATCATCTGAGGACAGGAGTTTGAGACCAGCCTGGCCAATATGGCAAAACTCCATCTGTACTGAAAAACAAAAATTAGCTGGGCATAGTGGTGTGTGCCTGTAATCCCAGCTACTCGGGAGGCTGAGGCAGGGAGAATTGCGTGAACCCAGGAGGCAGAGGTTGCCACAAGCCGAGATTGCTCCACTGCACTCAAGCCTGGGCAACAGAGCAAGACTCCATTTAAAAAAAGAAGAAGAAGAAGAAGGAGAAGGAGAAGGAGAAGGAGAAGGAGAAGAAAATGTTGTAAAGGGCCCAGCACAGTGCCTGGCACATAGTTGGAGCTCAGACTTAGGAGATCATGGTGTTATTACAGGCATTAGGGACCTGGCTCCAGCCCAGCACTTCCATCACCAGGGTGGGGCTCAGGCAAGTCCCCCCAGACCTCAGTGACCACATCTGGAACAGGAGGGGACGGGGCTATATGATCTCTGAGGTCCACACCAGCATGAATATTCTCTGCCTTTACGAATAAAGCAGGTAAGAGGGGGGTGATTTGAGTGTAAGAAGAGATGGTTGCGCTTTAAAATCCTGTAATTAGTGTTTGAACAGACACACAAAAATAGTAATTATCCAAGTGTGGTCGGGAATCTTGGGTTCTTTCATTAACTTGACAGAATTGCCAATGAGGTAGCATTTGGAAACACAAAACGACTCAATTCATTCCTCACTGATGGGAATCTTTAAGGGGAACACATCCCTTCCAGAAACATCCAGATGAGAAAGCAGCAGATATGGGCTCAGCTGCTCACACTAGCCCAGTCCAGGCTTGAAACCTCGTTCATGATCCTCTTATCGCCATTTCTAAATCAATCACAGGACAGGGCACTCAAGGGAACTGCCGAGAAGTGGCAGGAATAGGAAAGCACCCTGGGGACTGCTTCTGAAACCTGCAGCTCCCACCCCTTCCAAACAGAGTGGGGGAACTGCAGGGCAGGAGCAGTTTGCAGGAGCATGGGGCCTTGCCCTTCAGATGGGAAATGTCCAGGAGTCAGATAATAGAAAAGTTTCCAACTGGAGACTGTGGGAGGCTTAAGAAAAAAAGTCAATGTATAAAATCAAATCTCATGATAAACACCCAGAATGTGGTGTCAACACCACTATCCAAGGTGGCAAAAATGGATTTGAACTAAATCTTACGTGTTTACACCACACTAGGGCAGTCCCTCACTTGTTTGTCTTTGTCTTCCCAGCCTCCTAACATAACACCTGGTGTGTCCCAAGCACTGACCCACATGAATGCCTTAAATAAAGGAAAACAGGCAAATCCTAAGTCACTTGGCTTGGTTTCAGGAAACTACTATGATCTGGTATATCAGCTTTGTCTGATGGGAACCCGGGTAGACATCTGAGCCTCTACACATCCTGCAGGCAGCAAGCTCTCTCCAGGGCCCAGAGAAAGGTCACATCCACAAATGGGCTGGGTTAAAACTACAGCACCAGCCCCTGGTTGCTACTTTCTCATGCAGCGTCCAGAAATGATTTGAATGTCACAGCACCTCAGTGTCTAGCTTATTCTGCTTCAAAACAATCCCAACTTCATACCAAATACACTTTTCTTCATTTTGCCATCTGCTCCTTTTGCAGGGGAGAGCACGCGGGCTTTTTCACCTGTTTGGAGACCCTGCCTGTAGAACCCTCAAGACATTCATTTCATTCATTCGTTCACTCTTTTTTTCAGACAAGGGATCTTAGGATCATTCATTCATTCTATGTAGATTTGCTGATACTGTACAGGTTGCCTCTCAGAATCCAGTGCCTGTTCTCCGCACCCATGCTGACTGGTAGGAGGGATAAAGACAGCCTTACACCCTGGGAGAGGCGGTCCGGAGTAGAAACATCAGACAATGTGGGAGAAAGAGCCAAAGAACAGGAGGGAACAGCCAGACTTGCATGTTAGATGTTTGGAGTCTGAAAATATCCAGAGAAAAGAAAGGTAGGTGTAACCTAGCATTTGAAAGTGCTAAACAGCAAGCCAGCACTCAGGGCAAGTGGCCAGGAAGCTTTCCAAGAAAAACTTCTGGGAGGATAAAGGGAGATCGGTGAAAGGACCCACCGCAAAGTCGGGCGGGTACTGCATGCATGACCCATTAACTACCGCTCTTGCGGCCTCGCCAGGCTCTTCGAACCTGCACCCACCCGATATCCTTCCCTCCTTCAACCAACAAGTACTGACCTTGCCCGAAGGCTGGGAGCTGGCCCTGTGCCCGGGGCAGAGGGGCCTGCTTTTTCTTGCATTCCTTCTAAGCCTGCAGGCTGCCCGCCTGGGGCGTCTCCAAGCACAAAACCCACGTGACTCCATCTCCTCCCTCTTCCCCGGCTGGGTCCACGGGAGGTCCCTTACCCCTTGCTAGCTGTGCCCCACTTGCCAGGGAGCTCCTTCCTGCGAAGGGGAATCTGGGGACACCTCCGCCCGTGCCCGCCCACTTCCTACTCTGAAACCACAAATCCCCGGGAATGCCCCCCGCCCCGTCGGGTGGAAAATCGGCTCCTCGGGGTTCCTTCAACCCCAGAGTCTGGGGCCAGAGGGCTGAGTTTCGACCACCGACGAGGGCGCTAGCGGAAGGGGGAGGGGAGGAGGCGCACCCACGGCCTTACCCGGGCATGAGGCCAGGGGGCACGTAGGCGGCATTGAACTCGGTCAGTAGGGTGCCCGCGCTGCGGGAGGCCATGGTGGGTGCGCGAGTGCAGCGAGCCTGGCGCTCCGCTCCGCCCCACGGTAAACAGCGGCGGGTCACCCGGCAACGGCCACAGCGGCCCTCCTGGCTACGCCAGCTGGCCCCGCTGTCCTCGCGTTCCGAGACACTGCGCCCTTCTGGCGGCCCTCTCCCGGAGCAGCCCCACAGGGTGCGCACGGAAGGCGCCTCCCATTTCCGCGAGCTCTGCTGGGTGACCCCTGTCACTCTCCCCTGCGCATCGGGGCTCACTGCCTTGCTGCCTGCGGGATGTGCAGAGGCTCGGCTGCGGGACAGAGGCAGAACATCGCTGTAGAGGCCTCGCGGGATCCGTCTTTCGGTGACCCGGCTTGGAACGTGACCCTACCACAAAGGACAGGCCAGGTCCTGACTTTGAAGTCCACGCGCAAAGCAGCTGCCCCACCGTGGCTCAGGCCCAGAAACCTGAGTAGCCGAACGGTCCCCAGGAGCTATGTCTCTTCAAGGCTTCCCCTGCACCCCGGCTCTATGGGGGTTCCAGGAAGGGGCTTTGCAGTGGGCCGCGCTGGGCGTGGTTGCCTAGGACGCTGTGCATAATTGTGTGTGTGTATGTGTGTGTGTGTGTACACGCGTGCGTGCGTGCGTGTGTGCACGCGGGTTGCGAAGAGAGGCATTTTTCATGTTTCTCCTTAATCTCTAGCTGGTGGCTACCTTCTCACCTCATCATACCCTCAAACTACTCCATAAGAGGAGTTTTGTTGGTAAGGGGCAAAAAGAAAATCATAGAACGTCTGGGTGTGTGATTTACATCTGTCCCCAATGCTGCCGTTCATTTTGGGGATGGCATCTGCAGGGGTGGTGCTTGCCCCAGAGAGCAGGCCTCCTGAAGGCCCACCCCCTTGTGTAATCCTGCCTCCCTCCCTCCCTGGGACTGCTTCACCTGGGTTTCTCTAGGGACCCTCACACCAGCCTTGGTGCCTAGGGCAGGGCCAGGGCCTTTGGGTTTTTCATAAGGGGTGAGGGTATGGGGACAGCTTCCATGGTGCCAGGCTCTTGGTGACTCGGGTGGCGACCCTGCCACCCCAGCTCCCTCTGCAGCAGTCCTGGTGTCATGAAGAAGCCTGGCAGTTCCCCCTTCATCTCCGGATCTTGCTTCTTCCCTTCAGGTGCCAGATGGAGAGCAGTGCTCCCTTCACACTTGGGTTCTGTAAACGGCAGTGGATGAAGACCACAGACGCTACTGGGTTCACAGGATGCTGCCACCAGGATTCTCCAAAGACTCCCCCTGGCAAATGCCAGTGAAATGGAGGGGAGCTACATGCTTCCCAGAGGCTCAAGAAGCAGAAACACTGAGGCCTGGTGGGAAAGAGAAAGCTGTAGGCAAAGGAATGGCTGCAAACAAACTGGGTGGAAGGAAACTCCACCCGTCCTTCAGAATATAGTCATGTCTGTATTTTTCTCGATTCTCATTGGGGAACATGTTCTACAATAAGGAAAACATGAGTCAAACCCCCAGCCCTGGTGAGGTTGACCACCTACTCCCTCCCCCATTCAGGGCTGCCCAACCAGTCCTGCTGGTAAATCCACCACCCTGCCTTCCACCTGCCTGTGTTCTGGTCCGTCTGTCTCGTCTCATTGGGATCTTGTGCTATCCATATCATATTCATCCCTGAATCTCAGCACCTGGCTCTGGAAAGAATTCAGTAAACGTTCGTTACATAAATTATATACTCAGTTACCAAAATGGGTAACAGAAGAATGGACATTAAAAAGTGGGATCTGGTCGGGCACAGTGACTCACACCCGTAATCCCAGCACTTTGGAAGGCCAAGGCAGGTCAGCAGTTAGAGACCAGCCTGGCCAACATGGTGAAACCCCGTCTCTACTAAAAATACAAACATTAGCTGGGTGTGGTAGCACATGCCTGTAGTCCCACCTATTCGGGAGGCTGAGACAGAAGAATTGCTTGAACCCGGGAGGCAGAGGTTGCAGTGAGCCTAGATCACTCCACTGCACTCCAGCCTGGGTGACAGAGTGAGACTCTGTCTCAAAAAAAAAAAAAAAAAAAAAAAGTGGGATCTGTCTTAGGTTTCAGAAGGGTCAGCTAACTCCACTGAGAGCTGCTGAGTGAAATTGCTACCATTTTATGGATGTGGAAAGTGAGATTCAGCAGAGATCAATGCCTTGGCTAGGGCAGGTTCATGGGCTTTTACTTAAAGATGCACAGGGTCTGTAAGAGGCCTCATGAAATTCACTCCCTTCAGGGGAGGACCTCCAGAGAACCAAGGAAGGAGATATTTTCTGTTGTTGTTGTTTTACCTTGTAGCCACCAAGCCTTAAAAACACAGATCACCTGATGACCTCATGGATGGAAAATGCTAGTGAATTTAGGTGGTTTTTTTTTAAGACATTAAACTTATCCAGGTTTTGAAAATTTAGCATTCACTTGTATTCAATAAACATAATACTCTAAGACATTTTTAAATTCAATATGACTAGATAAATGTGAGAAAGGTAAGCAAGAATTGGTTAGGAAAAAGGGCAAAGGAAAAAAAAACGTAAGTAGAAAAAGAAAAATAGGGCACAGTAGCAAGGAAATATCTAGAAGGAGGAAAGAAGGCTCTTGGGACATACTGTAGTTTATTTGGAATGTAGAATTCAGAGGAAGTAACCTCTTGTTACCATGCTGTGAAAAATTAGTATTTCTCTTTTAAACCTTTAGGCTCTGTTTCAGGTAGATCCCTGAGCTTACTCTTTTCTCCTTTCAACAGTTATTGGGCATTCTACGGTGCACAGGATACCATGTGGGGCTCTGGGGTAGAGGGACGCTGTGCTCCAGGGTCCTCCTGAGGTCAGTAGGGGAAGAGGCAAGGGAAGCAGCCCCAGGACTCAGTAAGATGAGAGGAGGAAGGAGCAGCACAGAGGAGGACCCCAACCCAGCCGGGCTGCAGGTGCAGAGGCACCTCCAGGAGGAGGTGCTCGAACTGAGTCCAGGATGGGGTAGGGGACATTCCACCAAGACTGAATGGCAGGAGCAAGGGTGCAGATGACCCAGCACAGCCTCCAGCATCAGGGATTCTGGCCCCCAGGGTCCCTTTCCTTGGTGCATGCTGCTGGAAGACAGGAGGGGGCAGTTTTCCTTTGGTCCTTAGAAATTTCACTGTAGACACCCCTTCTCCTGCCCCTAGCAGCTTATAAGAGCAGAAGGCCATTCAATTCTGCTCCTCTGGCTGGAAAGCAAACATCAGCCTGGCTTACCTTCGCTAGCCTGCCTGATCCCCAGCCTTGGGGTGGGGCTAGGTTAGTGCCCTGGATCCTTAAACATGGCCCCTCGTAGCACATAAGCCTCTGCTGTCTCCACAACCAGGCATCTCCATCATGCGTGGCCTGGTCCTGAGCTTCCCCTCAGGCAGCAGCCCCAGCCTCTCTGCTTCCTGAGATTCAGAAACAGTGATCCCAGGGCAGGGCTCAGGGCCCAGCCTCTTGGGGGCACAGTCTCCAGCAGGGAAGAGGCGGGCATAGGTGGACAAATACATTTCCTTCTTCTTGTAGTGTGCTCCTGTGGGTGGGAGTGCCCCCGCCCCACACCCACCCCACCCATGGGCATGCCCATTCCTCTGTGCCCACTGCTGGTGGCAGGGCTTGCTTAGTAGGGAAGCAACAGAGCCCTGCGGAGGGGTGGGCAGAGCCTCCCTTCCAGGAGCTGGGAGAAGACACCTGAGGCTGGACAGAGCTTTATCTGGGAGCTGGCGGCTGCTGAATAATGAATTCCAACTCTGCCGCACTCCCAGGCTGCACACTGGGTGCACACACACACACGCACACACACACTGATACACACACGCTGGGCTGACAACTTGGAGGGGCGGGGGCTGGGAGGCTCTGTGAGTCGCTGCAGGAGCAGCTTAGCTCGGCTTGGTTGCCTTGGTCTCTGTGGGCAGCATCGGAGGGGGGTCGGGAGGAGGAGGAGGAGGCAGCGGCAGAGAAGAGAGAAGCGTGTGAGCCGTGCTCCACCAGCTAGCTCCTTCCTGCTGCTCCTGCCTGGCAGTGCCAGGCAGCTCACACCAGCATGGCCCTGCTCATCCACCTCAAGACGGTCTCGGAGCTGCGGGGCAGGGGAGACCGGATCGCCAAAGTGACTTTCCGAGGTAGGGAAGCCCCTGTCTTAGAGGGACGCCAGCTCTGAGAGTTGGCCCAGCGCATGCTCTGGAGGTGGCCGGGGATAGGACAGGGCTGGGAGGATGAGTGGGAAAAGTTCTAGCAGGGCCTGGGGCAATGAGCCTTTTCACAGGTAGTCATCTGCCTAGGACTGACTGGCCATTGTGATTTCTGGAAAATCTGGGTTCCCTGTGCTTCCATGCCTGTGTCTCCTTGTGCTTGCCAACATGCCAGTGCCCAGGCAGGGTGCAGAGCCCTCTGCCTGGGGAGGCAGAAGTGAGGACAACATCCCTGAGCTCAGGAAGACCCAGGACCCCCTCTTCCTCTCTATCCCTCTCCTGCAGGTTGATTTCCTTGAGCACAGGGTAGGGGCCAGGTCTGGAGCCTGGGACACCCAGGGTGGCCGTGAGAAACCAGGCAGCCAGTAGCTCCCTGGGCCCCAGAGTGATGGGGGACACTGTTGGCTTCTCTTAGATCTATTCATGGGCGGGGACCCTAGGAAACCCTCACCTCTCTTCTGTCTGGTCTTTTCTCATCCTTTTCACTCGTGTTTTCAGTGACCATTTATCATGATCTACTGTGTCCCAAGGATAGGGGTAGAAACACAGAGCTGAGCCCAACCCAGCCCCAGTCCCAAGGAGCCTGCATCTGTTGGGCAGGCGTGGGACAAGCAGCACAGGTATGTGAGACAGAGAGTGGGGGTGAGTGCAGCATGCATGCTACAGAAGCAGCACCCTCACCCAGGCTGGTGACTGGTGGTCAGGGAATGCTTCCCAGAGGAAGCAACACTCAGTTGATACCCGAGGGACCAGCAGGAGGGAGCTAGGAGAGGAGGTGAGGACTGAGTAGGCAGGGGAAGCAGTGTGCCCAGAGCTGAGAGGAGCTGCAACTCTGGAACTGAAAAAGGTTCCATGTGTCTACAGCCCAGAGAGTGTGCAGGAGCGGAGGCCAGAGAGACAGGCAGGGCAAGGATGCGAGGCTGGACCTGACCCCGCAGACAGCGGAGCCCCTGAGCATTTTAAGTGGGGAAAGGCAGGGCCAGGCTGACTGTGTCCTTCACCACCCACCTCTGCCTCTTCATGTGGTCGCTCCCCAGCCCTGGGGGTTGGGGGTACTTCTCACTAGACACGGCCCCTTCTCCCAAGAGAGGGGTCTGAGAGTGGTGAAGAGGGGGCAGAGAGGACCCCATCATACTAAAGAGCGAAGTGAACCTTGGGGCCCAAGCTGGACACATGTCTGCACCTCTGCTGGAAGGGACTGGAGAGGCCATTGGCAGAACATTCCAGCAAGAGCCCTGGGGCACCCACATCACCTACTCAGAGGCCCTGGGATGC